CCTAACTTCCTTAATAAGACTCCTGAAGCACAAGAATTAAAATCAAGAATCAATAAATGAGATGGATTCAAATTAAAAAGCTTCTTCTCAGCAAAAGCAACAACCAGTGAAGTGAATAGAGAGCCTACAGAATGGGAGCAAATTTTTACCACATGCACATCAGATAGAGCACCAATCTGTAGGATATATAAAGAACTCAAAATTCTTAACACCAAAAAAATAAATAAGCCAATCTATAAGTGGGTCAAGGAACTGAACAGACACTTCTCAGAAGATGATATGCAATCAATCAACAAATATATGAAAAAAATGTTCAGCATCGCTAACAAGTAGAGAAAGGCCAATCAAACCCACTCTAAAAATCAAAAACACTCCATTCAGAATGGCAGCTATTAAGAATCCAAACAAGTGTTGACAAGGATATGGGACAAAAGGTACTCTCATACATTGCTGGTGGGACTGCAAATCAGTGCAGCCAATATGGAAAGCCATATTGAGATTTCTTGGAAAACTGGAAATGGAACCACCATTTGACCCAACTATTCCATTCCTTCATTTATACCCAAATGACTTAAAAACAACATACTACAGTGATGCCGTCACATCAATGTTTATAGCAGCACAATTCACAATAGTTAAATTGTGGAACCAACTTAGATACCCTTCAGTAGATGAATGGATAAAGAATGTGGTATATATACACAATGGAATATTACTCAGCAATAAAGAGAATAAAATCATGGCATTTGCAGTAAAATGAATGGAGTTGGAGAATATGATGCTAAGAAGTTAAGCCAATCCCCCCAAATCAAATGCTGAATGTCTTCTCTGATATAAGGATGCTGATTCATATGGGGATTGGGGGCAGTGTGGGAAGAATAGACAAACTTTAGATAGGGCAAAGGGGAGAGTGAAAACATGTATGAAAACATTCATGTATGAAAACATGAATGGTGTGACTCTCCTTTGTGTACAACCAGAGACATGAAAAAAATGTACTCTATTTGAATTGCATTCTGTTCACATATATAACAAATTATAATTTAAAAACAGATTTATGTTCATGTTATGACTATGCTACTATCATGGAGAAATGATAAAGTTCTTGTTTTTTTTTTTATTAAGAGCTTTAACACTAAGAGTCAAAGACAAGTAAAAGCACAGTACTAATTGAGAGGATTATGTTGCCTTAAAGAAGAAACAATCAAATGGAATTGGTGTGGTCTCTACTAACAGCTTTAAGGACCCAGGGTTTTAAATCTAATGTTGGTTTGATTTCCTCTTTAGCTTTTGATTTTCATTTCTTTCTTTATTTTATCTTTATTTTTTCACTCAGACCCAAAGCATCAACACTTACTAGGTGAACTGCTGTTGACAAAAATGATTTTCCTTTTATATATTTTAATGGTAAATAATGCTTCTTCCCGAAGGATGAGGTTCCAAGAAATATTTTGGATTCTTTTTATTTAGATTAAGACTTTGAGAAATTCTTTGTGATTTGAATGTAAGTGGTTACATTAGAATGTAAGTGGTTTCCTGTTGGTTATATAGGATTTAAGTTTCACATTAAAACTTCAGTCATCCACAAATAGAGGACATGGATAGGAATGAGGTCTGTGAACAGAAATGTCAAAAGTTCTCACTTATGACTGTTGATAAATTCTCTTTTTATAAGACATGCATTGCCATGGTAATGGGGAGCAAGGTCTCATCTGGGATGGGATAAAGAAGACACTGTAGTGTCATRGAGAAGTTTAGTGTGTATAAACCATGAAGAAAGGTGTATTCCTTGATGGAGACTTGGATATCACACAGCCTGCTTACAATTATGGAAATGACAAAGAGCTAAGGATTCTGAGAGTCAGATTGGTCTCTCTATTATTTGAGCTATAATTTCAGTCAAGAGSTAGAATTAGGAGTGGAATTTTCCTGAGTGTTGACACCTGGAAGTGTTTGGAGAGGAACTGGAGAGACATTATTAGATACAAACTTTCCTGACACACCTAAATGTCAATTCATCATGTAAATATTTTCTTAACAACACTTATTTATTCAGAACTCTGATAGTTGCTGTAGGACCTATGAGATAAGAATAAGTTTATCCCTAACTTAAAAGAGATAAAAGTTAGATATAAAATGCAAGTTTCATATTTTATTAACTAATAAAATTTTTAAAAATTCCRTGCACAAAGCTTGGGAAGCAAGTTTAGGAACCTGTACAAACAATTTTTCAGACTTATTTTTTCTTAATAATAATTAGTAAAAGATAACTTCATAGAAAATACCAGTTTAATTCGTTTGAAAATGTGTACATTATACTATTGAGTGTTACCACAATTTGTTGTATGCTAACTATATTATTTTTGTCAAACCTCACATTATCTGTACTGGATTGACACAAATCAGATTTCTATTTAATAAATTTATTTTGAAAAAAGGAAGCTTGCAAACAAACATTACCTGCTATAATACAAGGTAATAGTAAAATAAGTATGATTAAACAAAATAATGTAGTTAAATTCTAGAAATRTACTATTGCATGCCAAAGGGAAACCTGTGGTCTAGTCTCTCATACTTAAAAGAGAGAATAAATAGAGCTATAAAGGGATCAAAACATACTAGTACCAAATAGAGATTTTTCTTCTTTACATAATTATAAGRGTTAAAAGAATATTGAAGTGCATTTCCTTATACATAATTTAATGGATGTTCAATAGTCATCTAAAATMATATTTCACACTTGAAATTCACTCTTCTGGCTTGCAAGTTCAAATTCATGTATGTATCTTTATTCAGTCTTACAAGAGTAACACCATATTTATTTATTAACCTAATTTTAAAGATGAGGAAACAAAGGCACAAAGAAATTAAAACAACCCCTGTGTTTAGTCAATGTTAGACACACAAACCCAGATTTTTGATTATMAAAATCCCCTTTTTCCTATACACTCATTATATTACTGTTATATATCACTGTCTCATGCAATATACAACTATTATTTCAAGTTTCTTTATTGTTAAATATCTCAGAAAAGTAATATTAAAAGTTACAAAGTATTTTTATCAAGATATAAGAAGTTCATATTTMCTTATATTAGTAACTGACGATAGGCATTTTATTAATTAGAGAAATATTTAAACTTTCCTAAGGATTTATTTCAAGAGTAATCTATTTTGACAAATGAATTTTATTCATCTGGTTTTGCATACAGGGAAATAAAGGTATAGAGAAGAAAGAGATTTGACCCTGGTCAGCTATATAGAAACTGTACTGGACTGTCCAATGATCTCAGAATCACAGCAATGGAAACAAGTTTTCTTAATGAAAAAATATAAGGTGACAATAAAGGGGGAAGCAAAGATCTAAAGACCATAGTTAGAAGAGTAAGGTCCAATATGGGTTGGACCTTACTCAATAAGTATAATCAAGAGATCTTAGTTTGTTTTAGGACAAAAGTAGGATCAYTGAAGGAATAGTCCCCGTGCTATGGTTTTGGATTAATGCTGATGGATAATATAAGGAGTAGAACACGTTAATATCTATGTTGCTTTGTATTTTCTGTGAAAGAGACTGACTTCTACACTAAACGGTGTGGAGTGAACATTGATAAGGAGAAATAGAGTTGAGGGTGGGATAAAATGTTRTAAGAGATAATGCTACTGCTAGAAATGAGTTCAGGTTTCCCACTTTATGGGCATTAACCCCCCAGTATGATATGAAGTGCAAATGAAGACAGTGRTGTGTGAAAAAATTTGAAGGATAAAGGAAAAAGGGAAGGTAGGGAAATGCAAATGCAGATTCACATTGCAAAAGAAGGAAAAAGTGGCTCTTTTYTGACATTCCAGATTGCTGAGCTTTAGATAAATTTGGGAAAGGTTCYGGAATGGATTTAAAGAGATAATTTATGAAAACCTGGAAGTGGATCCAGTGAGAGTTCACAAAAATCTATTCATGATCGAATAACATCCATTTGTTCTTTAGCAAAAAAAATATTGCCTTTTGAATTAGTGTATCCAGTATTCCACAAGCATACTCTTACATTATACATACTMAAGGTTCCATTAAATTTCTGAGGGAATAATGGAGAGGAATGGGTTTAATGAAATAATAAATACCCAATTAGAAAAAAGTTTCCATGTGTCTGAATAAGGGCTATTTAGCAAAATGATATCATCCCAAAATGAGGTTTTTAATGTTGCTTCTCAGAATTTTTTCATATTTAACATTCAGTGCAGGGCATGTCTGCTGATGATGAAATCTCTTAGTTTTTATTTGTCTGAGAAAGTCTTTATTTCTCCATCACTGTTGAAGGATAATTTCAACACTTAATTTTTTTCCTACTTTCTTCTTGCTTGAATAATTTCTTATGAGAAGTCCACTGAAATTCTTATTCCATTCAAGAGCTATTTTYATGATTTTCTCTTCTTGTGTTTGTTTTTCTCAGTTTGAGTATATGATATGACTAGRTGTTTTGTTATGTTTTGGGTATTCATCTTGCTTAGAATTCTCTAATCTTCRGATCTGTGGTTTGGAGTCTGTCAAAATTTTGGAAAGTTCTTGGCTATATTATTTCAATGGCTTCTTCTGCTCCATTCTGGTTTTATTTTGGTTTTTGATACATCTTGTATTCCAATTCCAATTCCAATGATCTCAGATCTCTATGCGTTTTATCTTTTWAAATGCTCTTTACAGTTCTTAGATGTTTTGGGTTTTGCTGTTGTTGGTTTTGTTTATTTTCCATTTTTTTTCTCTTCACTTTTCAGTATGGGAAGTTGCTACTGACCCATCTTCAAGATCACTGATTGTTTTTTTTTTAACTGTGTTGTGTCTACTAATGAGCTCATTAAAAACATTATTCATTTCTTCTAGAGGGCTGTTCATTTTGATTGCATTCTTTTGATTCTTAGAACTTTCATCAATCTGCTTACATTATGCATCTATTTATTGTATGTTGCTTACTTTTTCAATTAATGCTCTTAACATATTAATCATAATTGTTACTACAAAAATCTCTGATCATTTCAACATTTGTGTCACATCTGAGTTTGAGTCTGATGATTGTTCTCTTCAGACAGTATTGTTGTTGTTGTTGTTGTTTGATTGATTGTTTTGTTTTTCCTCTTGGCATAYTTGGCAATTTTTTGTTCAAATGTAGATAGGCAAATAGATAAGTAAGCAAAGAGGTCCCTACTAGAAAGATTTATGTTATTTGTCCAAGAGTTGGGCTAGATTTAATATTCACTGGTACCAGAGGCTTCAAATTCTTTCTTGATTTTGTTTCTCTTCTTGACTTTGGACTTTGTTAAGTACTTCTCCTCAGGGGGRAAAAAATCTTTCTTATAGCTTTTTCAGCTGTAACACACTATTATTACATTGGAGCCCTGCAGATGTGGTAGAAATGTGTGGGGAAAGGGAAGTATTCAATACTTTTATTACTGAATTTGGTCTTGGGATTTGGGGGCCTGTGTTTGTGAACTGTTACTTTTATAAGTGTTTCTTCAGTGCAATAGCTTTTTCATTTCCCCCTTATGTGGAACTGGAAAGCTAGAGAAATCTGGAGAAAGAGGATTGCCCTTCATCTACTAGAATAAGACTTAGGGAAAGTCTTCTTTGGAAAGTAGGCCTTTGTCATTCTGGGGTGATCACAATAATTACTCTTCCCATTTTCCCATCAGATCTAGGAGAGGATCTTCCTCAGATTTTCACTATGAGAACCTGGCCAGGTTCTTGAAAGTAAATCCCAGAAATGCATGTGGGTACACTTAAGAATCTGACCCCATGAGTTTTTTCTCCTCTTATATTGGTCCACATTCAGCTTCCAGCAATTTGTTATAATTACTCTTGAGTGTTCCTAAGATTTTATGGCTTCAGAAGCTTCTGTTTCAGGTAAGTAGAAGTGAACTGTATCTCTTTGAATGAAATGATCTTTGAAGAATTTAGGACAGCATTTTACCCTGAAGCTTCAATTTCCTGATGGTTCCAAGAAAAGTCATTGATTTTCAATTTATCCAGCTTTTTTTGTTATTGTTGTAACAATGGAAGCAATGACTTCCAACCTTGTTACATATTGGACCTGCATCTGGAAGTCTTCAATTCTTTTTTTTTTTTTTTTTCCTGATACCAGGGATTGAACCCAGGGAGGCTTAACCACTGAGCCACATCCTCAGCCCTTTTCATTTTTTTTGTTTTAAGACAGGATCTCACTAAGTTGCCTAGGGCCTTGCTTAATTGCTGAGGCTGGCCTCAACCCTGCAATCCTCCTGCTTCAATCTCTCGAGTTTCTGGGATTACAGGCATGTACCACTATGCCCGGCCCTCAATTCTCATATAATTGCCAATGTACATAAAGATATGAAGAATGTGATTAGCCAGTCTGAAGATGAATTAAAGCAGGA